AGAAAGAAGGAGATAAAGGGGGAGATAAAAGAAATGTCAAAAATAATGGGGAAAATTGGTAAAATACAATTTAGTGATTGAAATGAAAAAAAAGAAATATATTGTAAATGAAATGATGGGGACAGATAGTAATTTGGAATAAGATGAAGTAAAATTTGTGGAAATAGTAAATAATAAGGAAGGACCACTATGAAAAAGCTGTAAAAAGCTGTATAAATATATTGTAAATGTACATTCTCTTATCCATAATTAATCCCACATATACATATATTTTTTAAAGAAAAATAAATTCTTTTTAATTATATTTGGGATTGCTCTTCTATCCTTCTCCCTTATTTTACAACAAAAATCATTTATTTTTTTTTACCTCTATAACTATAAAAATTCAGGCTTTGAGATTCCTTAATGTACAGCCCATCCTGAATGGAACAAAGTAATTAAACGGAAGGAAATAATTAAAATAAGTAGTTAATTAGAATTAGAATTCTTTATTGGCCAAGTGTGATTAGACACATAAGGAATTTGTCTCCGGTACATAAACTCTCAGTGTATATACAACAATAGTGATAGATCATTATCAGTCATTGTAAAAATACATTCATCATAAAACATTAGATGCAACAATTAATCATAGTCATGGATACTAAATAAGTAATCAACATAAATCAAACTAGAACACTAAACAATATAAATCGGAGGATACAAGCAACAATTATAGTCATAAGGAGATAGGGAATAGGGAAGATGAGAATAATAATGGTACTATTGCCTTTCTAGATAGTTTGACTTGTGGGAATTAGTTATTTAGCAGAGTGATGGCAAGGGGGAAAACTGTCCTTGTGTCTAGTTATAGATTTAAATTTAATAAATAAAAAGAAATCTTAAACCAAAATTTGGGCTACTGTATAAACATTGCATAATTTTCAAATCAGCGACATTGTTTTCAAAGCAGTGACAACTATGAGTGCAGGAAGCCTCCACCCCCACCCCCACCCCCACCCCAAGAGAATGAAATATTTCAGGGAATATTAAAAGAGGCAGAATATTATATTTCCCCAAAGGAGAAAAAAATCTTAACAAAGGCAGAAATCAGCCCCAACAGTTTCCAGTAGATGCCTGGAGTCTTTAGAGATGGATATTTTGTGCCCATTAAGAAAGACTGGGCCAATCTATTCACAAACAAAACACCTTCAACTCCATCTGATGGGATTAAGAAGAACAGGACAAGATTTTTAGGACATAGTAAGATTAACCCACCACTATTAGAATAGCAAAACAGAGGAAGCTCACTACATTGCACAACCTCCTGGAGTATTTCAAACATAAAACCCCAGAGTGTATAAAAGCCCACCTATCCTAATCCCATTTTGTCAGCTGTCCCAGAACTACATGCTGTTGTCGGTTCTGCTCATCAATAAACAAGAGTCCTTTCCAATCAGCCTCCATTTTATTTCCTGTACTTTCTCCCAGCTTGGAACCAGACCGGATTTTTCTTCTTACATGAGTATTGAAAGAACCCTCTCAAATATATTTGACCCATTAATTTGTAATTTCAGAATGGAGTAAACCAAAAAGGGTATCTTTATTTTTGCTGCAAAGGATCAATGGCTAAAATGAAGTCTTTTACGCTGAGCTTCAGTCTTTGCTGTTAGCAAAATGTGATAGGAGCAGGACAGCAGACAGTACATGATGATGTATAGATCAATAACATTTAAAGATCTGCATATACATTTGAACAAAAGTTGAATGTATCCTTATATGACCGACAGTAGAGTTATCAAGCAAAGATTAATTTTTCAATATTGGAAATACAAGGTGAGCCCTGACAACCACAATTGAGCCCAAAATTTCTGTTGCCACGCGAGACATTTGTTGAGTGAGTTTTGCCCCATTTAATGAGTTTTCTTGCCACAATTGTTTAGTGAATAATACAATACTGCAGTTAACACAGTTGTTAAATAAATCTGACTTCCTGATTGACTTTGCTTGTCAGAAGATTGCAAAAGGTAATTACATGACCCTGGGACATTGCAACCGACATAAATATGAGTCAGTTGCTAAGTGTCTGAATTTTGATCACATGGCCTGGGAATGCTGCAATGGTCCTGTGAAAAACGGTCATAAATCACTTTTTTCAGTGCTGTTGTAATTTCGGACACTAAATGAACTATTGTAAGTTGAGGACTACCTATATGTCATTCCTGGATCAATTATATGCACAATATCCACTGCTGTCTTTGAAGGGACTGCCTAGAACCGTGATGGCGAACCTGTGGCACGGGTGCCACAGGTGGCACGTGGAGCCATATTGGTGGGCACGCGAGTGTTGCCCTAGCTCAGCTCCAGCGCGCATGCGCGCACTGGCCAACTGATTTTCAGGCCTTCCGGTCCCACCAGAAGCCGGGAAACTGGCTGTTTCCGGCCTCCGGAAGGCGTCCGGGAGGATGGGGAAGGCTGTTTTTGCCCTCCCCAGGCTCCTAGAAAGCCTCTAGAGCCTGGGGAGGGGGGGAAAACGGGCCTACTGGGCCCACCGTTCCATCGTCTGCCAAAAGCAGGGGGAAGTGGGGGGGTCACATGCGCATGCGCGGGAGGGTGGGGCGCATTGAATTATAGATGTGGGCACCCGCACCCCCCCACGCTCCCCCGCTTTTGGCACGTGACGGCAAAAAGGTTAGCCATCACTGGCCTAGAAGTATAGTAGAAAGACTGATGAATATTACTCTGCATGATCACAGCCTGATATATTAAAATTGGCCTGACTGATTTCTCTTATGTGTGGTGTATGCTTTTATTTTCTTTTTTCTGTATGTTAAAGTATAAAAATAAAAATAATTGATATCTTGGAATATTGACATTTACTTCCAGGTAGAATGCATTAAATTGTCCTATTAATCTCACTGCTAAAGGAAGGAAACAATACTGTACTTTGCAGCACTTCAGACTTGAAGGCAAAATAGAAGTTCTGGAAGATGTCAGTGTCTCTATAACATTTGCCTGCAAGTCTTTAAATTCAACACAGTAAATCTCTTCCAGGGTCATGTTTCACCTGTGGAGGACAGCCACATGATCGTGGGAAAAGCTGCATCTGCTCTAAGGAACTGCAGGCAGGCGCTAAGTTCATGACCTCACACACTCCTCAAACACTATTTTCCCTTCCTATCAGAAACACTGCCCAGCTCTTATATTGGATAGAACTATATATTTATGCATGTTTATGCAAGGGAAATACCTATGCAATCCAATGTGCTGTCTCTGAAATGTCATCATGTGGAACTAATACTGTACAGAGATTAATAAAGATGACATCATTAAAAAATTTTCCACAGCACTGAAGAAAATTAGGCCTTATTGAATTTAAAAGTTACTAATTTGGTTTAAAGTCCTACGCCCATATTTGAGTTGAAGTGGATTTAGGAGCTTGCAGGATTGCAACATTAAGTTTAATAGATTAAAAATCAGACCACTTAAAGGGTAATTTGTAGAGTGAGTATACAGGTAGTCCTCAATTTACAACCATTCATTTGGTCAAAGTTCAAAGTTACAACGGCAGTGGAAAAAAAGTGATTTATGACGGGTTTTCACACTTTAAGACTGTGGCAGTATCCCCGTGGCCATGTGATCAAAACCCGGATACTTGGCAACTGGCATGTACTTTTGATGGTTGGTTTCCCAGGGTCATATGATCCCCTTTTACAACCTTCTGACAAGCAAGGTCAACGGGAAAGCCAGATTCGCTGAACAGCCATGTTATTAATTTAACAACTGCAGTGATTCACTTAACAACTGTAGCAAGAAATTTCATAAAATGGGACAAAACTCATTTCACAATGAGTTAACATTCTACCTCAAAATGTTGCAAATCTTTTATAAAATATGCTGATATGATAGAAGAAATGTATTTTCTAAATTCATCTTTAAACGCATATCTGCTATTCTTTCGTGCATACGAATTTTCTAATGCTGCGATTTTACATCTATTGCTAAGTATTTTCTTGCTTAGCAACAAAACCTTTGGGCTCAATTGTGATCATAAGTCAAGGACTACCTGTATTTGTATTGGGTGTAAAACATGGAAATTTGTGTTTCTTCTTTTCACATTATTATTATTATTATTATTTAAATTTCTATACCGCCCTTCTCCAGAATAGGACTCAGGGCGGTGAACAGCCAGAGTAAAAAACAATACATACAAAATTTAAAAGCAATTTAAAATAATTAAATATTATTGGCCGTAAATTAAAATAACCCAATTTAAAATCAATTTAAAATTAACTCAAGCCAGCCCAGCTAGTTGAAATAAATAGGTTTTCAGGTTTTTATGTTACTACTATAACTCTAAAAACCACAAGGCTGAGGGTTCTGAGGTTTGCAAATAAAAATAATAAAAAATAAAAAATACATTTAAAAAATCACTGTTCTAAAAAAAAACAAAACTATTGAATCCCAATATAGAACCTCTCAACCAATCTTTTCTACCATCTCACTCTTACTTAATCTAGCCACTCCTGTAGTTTTATATGTTTTCATTTTATGAATTAATATATTAGGTAAAGGTAAAGGTTCTCCTTGCACATATGTGCTAGTCGTTCCCGACTCTAGGGGGCGGTGCTCAGCTCCGTTTCAAAGCCGAAGAGCCAGCACTGTCCGAAGACGTCTCCGCGGTCATGTGGCCGGCATGACCAAATGCCAAAGGCGCACGGAATGCTGTTACCTTCCCACCAAAGGTGGTCCCTATTTTTCTATTTGCATTTTTTATGTGTTTTTGAACTGCTAGGTTAGCAGAAGCTGGGACAAGTAACAGGAGCTCACCCCGTTACATGGCACTAGGGATTCGAACCACTGAACTGCCGACCTTTCGATCAACAAGCTCAGCATCTTAGCCACTGCGTCCCTTAATTAATATATTAGTATTGTTTAATTCTTGGCATAACTAAATTATTGATTTCAGAAGGATAAGGGAGGAAAGATCATGCAGAAGACATAAAACCCATACATACCAGTACTATAAAAATAATTTTAATTTCACAATAACTTACATATAAATTAGCTTAAAATATTATGATTGCATTTTGATATTAATATTTAAATAAAGGAATATAAACAGGGTCATTTGGAAACAGTGCAGTTAATTATCCATTTCTGCTCCAGACTCATGGTCTGTGCCATCGCTATCTTCCTCGTTCTCTGATTCGTCATAAAAGAAAATTGTGGCTTGGACAGGAAAGTTCCTCAGAAGTGCTTCAGCTTCATGATACATGTAGTCAAAACACTTGGATTTGGGCCAGAATAGCCTAAAACAAATAGAAAAGTTTGTAATTTAATATGTAACGAATAATTAAAATCACTTCATCTCATTCTACTTAACCTACCGTTAGCTTAAAATATCTTAAAATAAATAATCATTTCTTTAATATTAGCAGTATTTGACAACAAAATGGAATAATTCTAATTGTGTATAATCTAATTATACACAATTAGAGATACCCCTTTCTTTTTAGGCCAAGTACTTGCTGCTAAATTAATTAATGCATAAATTTGTTCAAAGATTGCCTTTATGCTCTCAAGGGAGCTAAATGCTGTTTAATTTGTAAAAGCATGAAAGTCAAATTTGCATTAACATTCTACCTCAAAATCCGTCATAAATCTTTCATAAAATATACTGTGATAAGATAGGAAAAATTTATTTTCTAAATTTATCTTTAAACACATATCTGCTAATATTCTGTACAGATGAATTTTTGATCTATACCTTTCCAACAAATGGTAAAGTCAATATCTAGGCAGAATAAGTAACACTGGACACTCAAAAGCACCTTCTGAGATTTAAACTATTCATTTTTGACTGCCACTTTATTGAACATATTCAAGAACATTCAACAGGACTATTCTAACATTTCTCAAGAGGAGCTTAAGACCAGAAAGTGCTTTTTAAAACTGGAAGGATTTTAAAAGAACCATAAGTGCACATAGGCAAGAAGACATGGTAAATTCATTTAAGGTCACACTACATTTAATTACAGCAAGTATGACCTCTTCAACACACATCTGCAGAAGTAGTACAAATAACCAGGAATGCTTATGGGAAAAATCACAGATTGAAAGGGAATCTTTAATTTTTCCAATCAATATCCCAATTTCTATTCTTACAATAAAAGGCAATGATTTAAGACACTGAAATTTTCCTTGATTACACCAATCATATTAAAGCATACAATAAATGTTTAATGAGAAGTTCAGATTTTATTAAAGACTTAAGTCATTTCATATTTATAATCACCCTGCATAATCAAATAATCAAATATTGAAAAAAATGGTAACCAGTCAAATGCAACTTCACAATTCAAACACATTGTGTCTTATTCATAAATTAAATGGGATTCAAAGACATCTGGTATGGACTTTATAGCTGCAGTTTTTAATAATTTGGGGCACTTAATAATTCCATAGAAGTTATTTATATCCAATGAAGAAAGTTTAGCACTGCACAAAAATTCAGTTTTGTCGATTACTACAAGTGACATATAGGGTAATATTCCATTATCTGTGAGGGGAAAAAAACAAATGTTTGAGTAAATATACCATGGCAGGTTTCTAATTCATCCTATGCTGTTCTCACAGAGGGTGACTAAGTCTGTAAAGGAGGAGAGAAACCATACAGAAATGATATGAGTGGCCTTGGATCTTGAGGTCCTCAGCTTGCATCTGGTAAGGATCCACAGTGTAACCAATATGCAGATGTAGCTATCACAAAAATATTGACTGCATTTGGACACATCTGCTGCAGGGATCCATGCCAACTTCCTTATCAACTGCTTTGAAAATCACGTCCCATGATTTGGGAAGTACAGTGATCAGTTCCAAAGAAAGCTTTGCCTTGGATCAGCCAGCAAAATTCAACCAAATAACAGCCCTAGGGGATCTTATTCTTAACTGTGGTACATAAACATGAGAAGGGCAGAATATATCTCCCATATAAATAAAAAAATAAAAAAATTGATATAGATGCTACAACATGGCCAGAGGAAGAGCAGGAAAACAATAAAGTTGTAAGACTTCCAGAGTCATGATGAATACAGAAGTGGTATTCAGCAGGTTCTGACCAGTTCTGGAGAACTGGTAGCAGAAATTTTGAGTAGTTCGGAGAACCGGTAAATACAACCTATGACTGGCCCCGCCCCCATCTATTCCCGAGTCCCAGCTGATCAGGAGGAAATGGGGATTTTGCAGTAACCTTCCCCTGGAGTGGGGAGGGGATGGAGATTTTACAGTATCCTTCCCCTGGAGTGGGGTGGGAATGGAAATTTTACAATATCCTTCGCCTGCCATGCCCAAGCTATGCCATGCCCACCAAGCCACACCTACAGAACTGGTAGTAAAAAAATTTGAATCCCACCACTTGATGAATGGCATATACATTTAATAAATAAATAAAATAGTACAGTATGGGTGACCATGTTAGAGTCAGTCTTAAGGTCTTTCCCCATTATTGAGTTGAAATGCTTAACATTCAACAATTCTGAGTTCACAAAAACTGCTTGCAAACCCTACATGCTCGGTTGCTTCACTTGCCACTCATTCATGTCCCATCATTTTTCCTCCAAGGTCACAGTGATAAAACTTAACAGATTTTATGCCACTTCGGGCAGAAGCCTTTGTAGGAGCCAACATTTCCACTGGAATAATGAAAGCCGTATGACACTGTCACATCGCCAGCTCTCCCTTTCGGATGTGCACAAAAAAAGGCAGAGTCTGTGGCATGATGGAGTGACACTGAAAACGAGACAGTCCCTGGAGGGAGCCAGACTAAATGCTATCTTAATACAAGCCAAGCTACGGAAGAGGTTGGGCTGTCTAACTTAGAGGCTGGGGTGAAGATGAAGGAACATGGCAAGAAACATCCAAGGAAGATGGCAGAAAAAGATATTATGAGGGCAGTTTTGGTAGAACAACAATCTAAGACGTTTAGGTGTGAAGAAAACAACAACTCTCCCAATCAATATTCAAAATCCCAACAGCAGGTTAACATTTTCTGGCACTTGAGACAAATCCTTCAAGTCTGTTCTGAAATAAAAAGAGTGTGTGGGATAGCAAGAAGGGAGGCACATAAATTTAATAATTGATTAATACTAAAGTAAAAACATTATTTCAAAAATAAATGTATTTGAATTGGCTCTTCTTTTCACGGGCAATAAATGTATAAAAATAACAAGAAAATAGTTATTTTGCTGTCTTCTAATTAGTTCAAAAGTTACTCTGCTAATTGACATTGTCAGCTCCAGATCATATGATATACTTTCATCTATTGTAACTGCTATTGCACATGATAAAAAGAATAAAGACAGAAGAGAACATCACTAAAACCACAAAATTAAAACAACATATACTGTAAATATGGAAAACACTGAGAGAAAATCTTCTTAAGGCTTCGGAATACAGATGGTCCTTGACTAATGACCGCAACTGAGCCCAAAATTTATTTGTTAAGCAAGATGTTAAGTGAATTTTGCCCTCTTTTATGACTTTTGTTGCCACAATTGCTAAGTGAATCATTATAGTTGTTAAATTAGTAACATGGCTGTTAAGCAAGTCTGACTTCCACATTGACTTTGCTTGTCAGAAGGTCACAAAAGGTGACCCATGACCCAGGGACACTGGAACCATCATAAGTACAAGCCAATTGCCAAGCACCCATATACTGATCACCACAGGGATGCTGCAATGGTCATAAGTGTGAAAAGTGGTCATAAATCACTTTTTTTCAGTGCAGTTGTAACTTCAAATGGTCACTAAACAAATGATTATAAGTCGAGGGCTACCTATAGTTTAAAAAAAAAAGATAAAGGTTTTCTCTGACCACTTATGCCCAACTCTACGGGTGGTATTGATCTCTGTTTTCTAGCTGAGGGAGCCAGCATTGTCCAAAGATATTTCTGTGGGCATGTGGCCAGCATAACTATACGTTGAGGCACACGAAACGCTGTTACCTTCCCACAAAAGTACCTATTTATGTACTTGCATTTGCATGCTTTCGAACTGATAAATTGACATGATCCTAGGGCAAGAATGGGAGCTCACTCTGTGGTGCGGTGCTTAGGTCTTGACCTGCCAAACTTCTGATCAACAAGCCCAGTGTTTTAACCGCTAGACTAATAATTGGAGAAGCTGCTGAAATATTGAGAAATCATGTTGAAAAAGCTATATTAATTATTTACTGATGTTATGTTTTGTTCTATTTATATTCTGCCTTTCATACAGAAGCAGTACTTCTATTTTTCCACACACAACGCTGTAAAATAGATTGGGCTGAGAGAGAGAGATTGAGAGAAAGGGAACAAAAGAGAGAGAGAGAGAACAAGAGAGAAAGAGAAGAATAAGAGAGAATGAGAGAAAATGAGAGAATGAAAGCAAGATACAAGAGAGAATGAGAGAAAATGAGAGAATGAGAAAGTGAGAGTGAAAACAAGAGAATGAGACTGAGAAAAAACGAGAACGAAAGCAAGAGAGAGAATGAGAGAAAATGAAAGAGTGAGAAAGTGAGAGAGAAAACGAAAGAGAAAAGAGAATGAGAAAGATAAAGATAAATATAAAACAGGAGAGAGAACATGAGAGAAAATGAGAGAGAATGAGAGAAAGAGAGAGAGAGAGAGAGAGAGAGAGAGAGAGAGAGAGAGAACGAGGGAGAGACCCAAAGCCACTCAGAAAGCTACCAGTAGCTACTAGTTTAAGTCCTGATACGTTTTGTGTGATTTCAGATGTTATTTGAAATAAATCTTACATACAATCCTATCATTTTTCTTGACACCTTTCTGTATGATTAACTACTACCTGAAAATATATCCAATTGAGGGCTTTACCTATTGGATTCCCTCCCCCCTCCCCCCCAATAGGTAGCTTTTTAGGGCCCAGGAGCCCAGCTGGGAAAAATGGAAAAGATTAATCCTGAGAGTCTCAGTAATACTATGTTTTAGGAAAAAATGAAATTGTTTTGTCTTACCTCACTGGATGGGTATATTGTGCGAGTTTTACAGAGTCTTCTGTAGCCTCAGAAGAGCTGTGCAACTAGAGCAAGAAATAAAGGTCAACAGAATGATTGAAAATTATGATACTTTCAGAAAGAAAAAATCTGAAATTGATTATTTAATATTCATACATTTTTTATCAAATCAAAGCCACCCATTTCAGGAAAATGACTCTGGGTGGTGTATAATAAAAGAATACATAATGTTATTATTAAATACTATGTTTGTTTCCTCCTTTTGTTCAGGAAGTATATTAGGCACTCCCCTTTCCATTTTTTTTTCTTCAACTGCAACCCTGTGAGGTGGGCTGGGCTGAAAGAGCATGACTGACCTAGAGTCATCCAGTGATTATCAAAGTAAATATTGGATTTCATTTTTGTCAGCACACCCGATGCACTGTAATGCAAATGAATGATTATTTTCCCCTCTCCTGATAGTGAAAACCCATCTTTTTCAACAAGCCGGGTTGGCCTAAGAAGAAATTTTTAAAATTTTTAAATTCTTTTAATTAGTCTGTGATTCTTAACTTTCGGGCCAAAATTTATATATATTTTTAAATGTTTTAATATTTGTATTCTATGTCTTTTATCTTGGCTGTACACCGCCCTGAGTCCTCAGGGAGAAGGGCGGTATATAAATTGGAAATTAAATTAAATTAAATTAAATTAAATAAACCTTAAAATTCGAATTAATAAATTGCTGCCTTTCATAGTGCCTAGCACAAACTGATATATTACATTGCAAAAGGCATAACCAATTTAGGAATTACATTTCAGTCACATGATGAGCCCCACATGCAAACTTAATTTAGTAATGAAAACCATCCTTTTAGTTGTTGTTGTTTTAAAAAAAAAAGGTCCTTCGTGGAATGCAGTGAGATCTGTATTATTGTTAATGCGCCAATATCCCTAGTCTAGAATTAGTAGCAATCGTTAACACCAATACATTTCCTTCCTTTCACCGTACTCCTAAGTGAAAAAACATTGAATTAGTCAACTAAAGAAAGACCAGTTCCTTGCAGCCTAATCTAAGCTCTCGTGGAAGGGCTGTCATAATTGTGACTACAGGACACACTCACCTCAACGTTTTGCACACCCTGTCTTTCGACATCTTTTGGGGTGGGGATCCAAGGTCTCCAGAATCCTTCGGACCTACAAATATATTACACACCCTGCGTTAGCCGCGATGTGGCAATAGGACGCAGTAAAGGGAGGGGGAGAACATCGGAAGCTCCCGGGACCATGGATGGGGCTGGCTCCATTTTTCCCGCGCGATCAAGAAGCAGCTGGAAAACATGGGGATCACCTCCCCCCCACCCTCCTCCCCAAGGCTTGCTCTTAAGCGCAGGTTGCCCGTAATGGGCTCTCGTGGTGATTGAGGTCGGCTACCCTGAAGTGTCTTTGGAGCAGGAGATCCGGGAGTTTGCGGTTCCAAGCGGCGGAGAATTGTGGAGGCAGAGCGGCGAAGTCTCCATGCTCTGATTGTGGCCGCTCTCAGACCCAGCCAACCCACCGGTAAAACGCGGGCAGCCTCTCGTTTCCTCTCCTCCCCCGCGCTGGGCTGTGTGGATCGGCTGCCGCCCGAGGGGTTTTTATAACGATAGCTGAGCAGCCTCCCAGTTCCAGCCACCTTATCTCATTTGCCGGAGAGGTAAACAAAAAGGCTGCGCGTGAAAGCCGCAGCGGGGTAAACAAGGAGCGTGGACGCGTGCAAGCTCCAAATGGCCCAGGGAGAGATTTGGCAAGTGAGTGTTAATCACACTTGAGCAGACACATGGCTCTTGTCCTGAAGAGGGGATGCTCACGCTTGGGCTCTCGTCCTCAGGGTCCTGGGTGAGAAAGGCAGAGAATACCCAAAGTTTGCGAAGGAAAAAACGGCGCTTCCACCCTTTCTGTTCCACACGCTGTTGCAATATTGCTATCCGTTCATTTATGGATATATTTTGCTCTTCCAGTTGTGGAAATCCAAATAGTCCGAGCAATCACACAATCGAATTAAGCAACGGAAATGGTACTTAATAATTTAATTTGCTTCAGCAAGAAGGGAAAGGAGGCCGGGGTGAAATCCAGCAGGTTCTGATAGGTTCTGGAGAACCGGTAGCGGAAATTTTGAGTAATTCGGAGAACCGGCAAATATCACCTCTAGCTGGCCCCAGAGTGGGATGGGAATGGAGATTTTGCAATATCCTTCCCCCAGGAGTGGGGAGGGAGTGAGAATTTTGCAGTATCCTTCCCCTGGAGGGGGGTGAGAATGGAGATTTTACAGTATGCTTTCCCTGGAGTGGGTGGGAATGGAGATTTTGCAGTATCCTTCCCCTGCCACGCCCACCAAGCCACACCATGCCCACCAAGTCATGCCCACAGAACCAGTAGTAAAAAAAAATTGGATTTCACCACTGAAAGAGGCAAGACAGAACAGCTAAAAATGAAAGCTATGCTGGCATCCAAAAACAACAATAAGTAACATAAATTACTTATATAACTTACATTATGATATCATTATGTAATATATTATTAAGCATTATAAGTAAGTATTCCCTGCCAGATATTTGGTGAAGTTGCTAAGGTACTGGCCTAGAAACCAGAAGACTATGAGTTCTAGTTCTGCCTTGGCATAAAAACCAGCTGGGTGACTTTGAACCAGTCATTTTTTCTTCGCCCACCCTACTGTACAGGGTTGTTACTGAGAAAAATAGGAGGAGGAAGAAATTTTTTGTTTGTTTTCTGCCTTGAGTTACCTATAAAGTAATAAAGGTGAGATAAAAATCTAATAAATAAAATATTTTGGACAACTACTCCTCTAATCTCTTGCCATTGACCATGCCAGCTAGAAAAGAGAGGTCAAAGTTTTTAAAGATCTATAGGGCAATTCACTTGTCTGGCATTTGGTATAGTCCACAGAAAAAGGTTTGTCTTAGACCTTTGTAAGAATAAGTAATATTTGACATTAGGAATCTGATTTTTGAAACTTCCTAGGCCCAGGGCACTTACGTTTTTTTAAGATTGATATCACCATGAATAATTTTTAAGAATAATGTGTACCTGCAGCCAATAAAAATACAGTAATATAGAATCTTTTACTTTGGAGGTGGCTCGATCAACAAATTTGCAACTTCTTTGAAACAATGGAAATTTCTAGAATGTCTTTAAGCAGCATCATAGAGAGACCATTCCATTTCATATATTGGAATTCCATTTTGTAATTCTTTTGAAAAGAGCTCAGTAAAAAAAAAAAAATACCTTACTTATTAGATTCTGAAATGTTTCTAATGAACAAACATGACTTTTTCTCTCTTGTAGTAATTTAATTTTTGTGTAACTAGAACTTGTGCATTCTGTAAGGTCATTCCTATTGAAGAAAATTTGCAGTCCACCTATCAAATTTGATAAAAAGTACATTAAGTCATAGAATCCACATGGAACTGGTTTTAAAATTACTTTTGAAACTTCAAATCTGTCTTTTCAGAGAACAGTATAATAAAATTATTCATGTCAGACTAAGACTGTGGAGATTCCTGAAAAAAGAGTTTTGACTTTACAGAAATAATCCTGCAAAAGGAGGAGAATCTTGAAAGAGAACAGAGTGAATACTACTTTTGTCTGATGTAAATTAATTAAGATAAAAGATTTAGATAATTACATTTTATTAATTATTCTTCAGCAGGGGTCCCTAATCCCCAGTCTTTCGACCTGTACTGGTCCACAGCCTGTTGGGAACTGGGCCACGCAAGCAGCAAAGTGCGCAAAGTTTCATTTGCATATGTGCAGGATTAGGTTGTGTGCGCAAAAACATCCCCTCTGCCCCCATCTCCCGCACCATCCATGCAGCCAGAAAGGTTGGGGACCGCTGTACTACAATACTGCAAGTATTAGTAGGTAATACTGCAGGTTCTAGACACTGATTCAGCATATACACTGAACTATCTGGCTAATATAGCAAGAACAAATAACTCTGATACGGAATGGGACAATTCACCATAGCCAACTCACCATGGCCAACTCACTGCAGGACAATTGGCTATGGCAAATTGTTATAGAACCCACTCTGCTAATACTTAATCCCAGTTCCCTGAATTACTTTAATTAGTGGTTTTATATAGATTTAAAAAACGATGCATAAATGCCAAGGAGCAAAGCTAAATATTACAATGTTTGTTTCTTTGTTTAAATTTACATGCTATCCATCTCACTCTTTGAAGTGACTTTGGGTTTATGAATCACCAAAGCTTTGTCCTGCCAACCCAGAAAAGTGCTCCACATAGATACCATCTGTGATTGAAAGTAGGAATGTGGAAAACATTCCATGCACAAACAGTTCCATGCATGGAGCAGCTGGTTTCAGATGGTCTGTTTCCAAACCCAAACACACCTGTTTTGGGTACTTTGGTTCATGCATAAATCAAAACAGATTTATTTTGCTCTGGAATTAAAAGAATTGTTTGGTTACGGGAAAAGTAGTTGGCAAGAGCTAAGGAAAAGCTAAGGATGTTGATGGCTGAGGAAAGGAAGGAAAGCAAGGAAAAGAAAGTTCTAGGAAGATATGGAGAAGCTGGATCATCAGCATTGGTGGCAGTAAGGGAGTGGGGGGGGAAGGTGCTAGGAAAATCAGGACAGGTAATAGAATAAAGAAAGGTGATAGAAAGTATCAGGAGGATTGGAGGACAGGCAAACCAGCTAGGTGTGCTGTTCTAAGAACAGGGAGAGGTATATAGGGCATAGCACACACCAATATTACACTATTTTCCCAGTAAGATTTTGTTTTTATGAAACTTGGAAGACCCAAAGCTTTCCAACTTTGGGTTCTACTGAAACAGAGCTAATTCCCACAAAATCAGCCAAACTTTCATTATATGATGGGTTATGGGATTCACACCAGTGGTGGGTTCCTCCCGGTTCGGTCCGGTTCGGCCGAGCCGGTAGCGGTGATGATATGACGTCACCGAACCGGTTCTTCCCCCCCCCGCCCTCCCACCCACCCCCACTCACCCATATTATTCTTACCTTTTATTTGGTCCCACCCCCAATCTATTGCTGCCTCCTGAGTCCCAGCTGATGACTAGAGGGGAAAAAAACTGTTTAAACTCTTGCCGCAGGGCTTCAAAGGGCCATCCTACAGCTGATCAGTGTTAAAAGCAAACAAATGAGTCAGGTCATAAGTGCGAGGACTGGTCGTAAGTGCGAGGACCTTCCAGAAATGACTCTGACCAGCTAGCCACGCCCACCTAGTCACATGACCTCCAAGCCACACCCACAAAATAAGCCATGCCCACAGAACCGGTAGTAAAATAAATTAGAACCCACCCCTGATTCACACCAACATTTCCCCTTCTGTGCAAAACCATAAGAATCCTAACTAACATGGTTTCCTGCCCCTCTTCCACACAGACCATTGTTCAGTCTGACCAAGACTGTTTCTGTATCAGATTTATCATGCATGGCTCCTGGAACATATTTGTTGAATTAAAACACATGGCTGTAGTCAAGAGCTTACATATCTGCAGAGGAATAATTGCAAAGGAATAAATAATTGCACAGGAATGACTAGAAATATGCTATGGTTTAGGAAGGTTTTTCATGCTGGTTTTTGATGTGAAGTGCAGATTTACTTTGAAGATCTTATGAGTTAAGGACACCTTAAAACCAGGGGTAGGCTTATTAAAATTTTTTAGCAAGGGGTTCTCTGGCCGGTTGCTGGGTGGACGTGGCCATGGTGGGCGTGGCCTAGTCAACTCCTGCACCACAGCTGGGGGGGTGATTTTGCCCTCCCCGGCCTCCGGAGGCTTTTCTTGAGTCTCCGGGAGGACGAAAACGGCTTTTCCAGGCTCCGGAGGCCATCTGAAGGCTGGAAATGGGCCCATTTCTGGTTTTCCCAAACTTCTAGTAGGCCTATTTTTCACCCTCCCCGAGCCTCTGCACGTGCCATGCAATTACCTGTATCCAGAACTGGCCTCATGGGGACTCCTGGGAGGGGTGGGGCAGGGTGGGCGGGGCCAGCCAGGAGTGGGATTTGGTAATTCTCCAAACAGCACAGAATCTTAGCTAGAGGTTCTCCCGAATCCCTGCGCACCCCCCAGAAGCCCACCCTGCTTAAAACAACATAATACTCTATGCAAGGAGGAGGGTCCACATGAATAAAGTACTAAGGATCTTTAAATCTATTTATCTATTTACAACTAGGTAAATATTTTGTACAAATAATGTTCAAAAATCACCATTTTAATAGAAATACTCCATTAAAAAGTAATGATATTGGAATGATAGTCATCACTGTAGTTGGTATCGAGGAGTGACCAAATGAAGGAATTGCATGTGAAAGTAGGACTACAGGTAGTCCTTGACTTACCACCACAACTGAGCCCAACATTTCTGTTGTTAAGTGTTGAGTTCTCCATGATGTCTAGTTAAATTATATAAAGTTGAAATAAAAATATATTATTAAAAGGTTTTTTTACAATAATCTATTGGAATTTACTTTCATTCAAATGTATCCATGCTTCTAATTAATTAGAGAAAAATGAATAATATTGGTAAATTTAAAATAATAGATCAAATTAATGCTTACTAGACACTTTAATGCGGTGATTTCTGTATGACAGTGCTGTACAAATATTGATTGCACTATTATAAAACTACAACATTTTTTAAAAAATAACAGATTTGTCATATAATACAGATAGTCCTCCACTTACAACTACAATTAAGCCTAAAATGTCTGTTTTTAAGTGAGACATTTGTGTGATCTTGC